GTTTATCGCTTGAAAAATTCAAGAGCATTGAAAAAAAAATCTAAAGCTGGCTTGCCTGTGATTTGGAAGTCGAATCGTAAAGCTTTGGTGGCAGCTTTCCTTTTTGAGGACTGGTTTGGTCATAACTTCATACCTGAAGTTGAACATTATTGCCAATCTAAACAAATTCCGTTTAAAGTGATGCTAATAATCGACAAAGCTAGTTTCTGATGTCAAAAACGACCTCCAATAGTTTTTTAATTTTTTTAATTAATATATTTTATTATATTGGGTTGTTCGGAAAGTAATTTCGTTTTTTTTACCACTTACGAATTAGTNCTTGGAACTATTTGATCCTATCGGACACCTCTCTCGTTCACTGCTACGAAGCTCACCAAGCTCGTTGCTATCAGAAGCTCACCTTGTCTGTCTTCACTTGAGGTTCAGGTTCAGTCTTTATACTGTGAGGTGACATCATAATTCTGAATGCGATCACTCCCCTCATTTACATACTTATTTGCTAACAATAAACTTTTTCTATTTGTCTGGCAGCCTATTTTTCCGACAATACTCGCTAACCTTTTACATCATCCTTTTTGACAATTTTTGGGATGTTTTTATTCTTTAAGGTATAGCGAGTCCCTAAGTTGTGCTTGTGGGGTCTCCTCCCTTTTCTCGGTGCGGACTTACTTTTTTCCGCTCGGGAGCACAAGTGTGCGCGAGTTTTTCTACGGCGCTTTTCTCTCGTTGGTGAGTTGGTTTCTCTTCTATTTTTAAGTTTCTAAGGTGAATGGCAAGGAAACCTTCGTCCTAACAAAACATAAGCCCCAAACAAAAATATAAAAAAAAGCAAAATAAAAGTAAATAAAAATAATGCTCGGACTTGGTTCCTTACATCATCAATCTGTCAATATTGGCAGGATTATCATCTCTAAATACTGTATATGACCAGCAGCAAAGAATACAATGAATGAAAATACATGAGGTCTCTCATTTTGTCCAAAAATGTCCCATACACAATATTGTTAAGCTGACTCACAGTTCTTTGCCTCTTCCCATATCATCAACTGACTGCAAAGGGTTAATTAACCAGATGTTCACAGGTCAAAAAAAAAAAAAAGGGTTGTGGATAGGACACAATCGCAATAATTTAAGGCGTGAACCTGTCTTTGTGTGCTTAAAGAAAGGATAAGATGTAAACAAATAAAATGTTGTTAGATATCACATTCCAAGTCAATATCTATTGGTTCAGGTGATGGTGCACTTGAAGTATTCTCATCAGAGTTGACGCACTCAGTTTTCTTACGCTCTCTGTACAATCTGCATTGTTCAACATTACTCATTTTGGGCTTTTCTGATTCCTTTTTCCTTTCCTACATTTGTGTTCATATTTCCTTTGCAATCTCTTCAAGATTATAAAAATTTTCTGACTTGCACACTCATCAGCATATAACTTTACAAATCCTATTTTATCAGTTATTATTGCTAAGTAATATTGTATATCTTGTCATTCTGTACAAATTAACACCAATTTTAACATCCAAAGTTATACACTGCCTAAATGCTGTGCAGTGGTGCCATTTTCAGTATTTACGTGCCACCACAAACCCCCTCATAGCTGCACTCCCATCCACCATTTTAAATACAAACATAAATCCTCTATCTAACAAAATTTTAATCACTAATTATTTATATTTTACAAGATAGAAATGCAACAAATCTTGCCATTTTTTCATTCACTCCAGTTTTTGTAGACCCCTCTTATAACCGAACCAAATTTAAAGACATTTTTGGATCAAAAAGGAGCTAGAGCAACAGTAAATTCCATGGTATTTGTGGATTCCCTGACTACTTTGCTTTTTTCTTATGATAAATGTAAATACAGATCAGATACCTATTTACAATGTTCATAGTATTGTTTTAAACTGACAAAATCGAAATATCTAGCAATGAGTTGTGTAACTTTCCCCGCTTTTATCAGATTTTATTTTTAAAATAACATTTGTATTATTAATCAAAATAACTAAAATTGTATGTGGTGCCATTTGTTATATAAAGTTTTTATAACAAAATCTCATATTTCTAATTACTACAAAATAACAAAACACTTAATTTTGAGGGTAGAGATGACTTTGTAACATGTTTTATAACGTTTTACAAATGTTTTGGGTTAAATTTTACTTATGTGCACTGTCATGGTCGCACTTCCATAATCTCAATAACAAATGTCTTTTGAATTTCAATGTAGGTGGCACTGTTAGTAATTTTGAACAATTCTATAGGTTTAACATGCTTTGTTCAAACATCATTGTCTGCATATTTCATTTTCACAATTGGACCTCAAAGGATTTTTTTCTATGTTTAGAATCAGATTTTCCTGAATTTGGTGTCGATGAGAGAATTTTGTCTCATGTAAAGTTTGTAATTAAGTTTGGCTTACAATCTGTTGATACAGATTGGGATAAATGCAATGGTCGGTGTAAACTATTATTTAGATAAGAAACTGTTTCCATTTTTTTTTTTTTTTGATGTAACAAATGTAAGGCAAGCAGTTCAGCATTTGAATAAACTTGCAGAATGAACTTGATTAAAAGTATGTTAATCATGTAAAAGTTAAATTTTTTGTTTTTTTAAGAAATAAGTTCTTGCTAGCATTGTACTGTCATGGCGTCAGGTCTGTTCGGGCTGCCGACGGACTCCTCCCAGAGGGGAGCCGCCAAGTGTATAACGTCACTAGTTATTGATTCACAGTAGTTGTTGAACACACATCAATAACTAGTGATGTTATACACTCAGCAGCCTGCCGGTGGCTCCCCTCCAGGAGGAGTCAGTCAGGAGCACAAACAGTTGTGACCAGAAGTGATGCCATGACAGTGCACATAGGTAAAATTTAACCTGTTTTTGTAACATGTTTTACAATGTAGAACAAAGTAAAACATGTAAAATCTTCATTAAGTCTGACCTTTCACAAGATATATCACATGACCACCCTCTATTGCTCCATCCCCTTGACCTTTCACAACCAAAATTTAGTAGCATCAATGCCCCTTATATACAAGCTATCATGCCAAATTTTGTTTCTTTATTTTTACTCCATCCTGAGATTAATATCTCAGGATGCAAAATAGATGCCAACACATATCCACAAGAGCTTTTTGCCATTTTTTTTTTTTTTACTTTTTTGGGTTCAGGGGTCTTAAAATATGGAGATTTGTAAAAAACTCGAAGGGTCAAATTTGACACGATTCCATTACTTTTCCTTATTATGTATACATAACAGCTGGGAGAGTAGAAGATATTAGTTTACTTTTTTCATCAGTATACCACAATGTATTTGTAATTTCATTGTCTAATCTACATTTTTATCAAAAACGGGGGGCGCTTCTAGCGTTCATCGGTATTGGAGTGATTTTAGTGTGAGCTTGTTTTGAAGTGTTAATAGGAATTTTAAAGATGGATATGCTATGCATTATAGTATATTTAATATTAATAATACAGAATCTACTTATTTTGGCTGGAGTTGAGCAAAATCCGGGCCCTTTATCACATTCCCCGCCGAAGAGAGGTCGACCACCATCAACGAGAAGTAATGCTGTTAAGATGTCTAAACCGACAAATTTGGAGAACATGCTACGTAAACCAATGTTTGCTTCGAGGGAGAAGGAAAAAAGTGAGAAAACAGCTGAGGAGGTGAGTGAATATGATTTTGAATCTACATTCGTGGACTGTTTGGAGTCGATAGAGAGAGAAGATTGTCCGATTACCTCAAGTTTACGCCAAATGACTAAATTAATTCAAGCTTCACATGGACTATAACTGATCTAATATTAGAAGTTAAAACAGAGATAAGCCGACTACATGAGGATAATAAAGAATTTAAGACTAGACTTGGATTAATGGAACAGAGGGTTAATAATTTAGAAATAGCATTGCCGGAAATAAATAGGAAACTAGAAGCCCAACAATATTTGGCAAACGAAATTATAAATACATCAAATCAGTCTAATTTGATATTATTCGGATACCCTTTGTCTGAGAATATGAACATTAGAGAAAGTCTAGGAAGATTTATTGAGGAAGAGTTGAGGATTACCGAGTTTAAGATTGAGAAAGTAAGGGACTATTATGTAATAAAGAAAGTTGTACCAACTATTTTAAAAATCACTCTAAGTTCAATACAGAGGAAAAACCAAATATTATCATTGTTTTATAAATATAAAAAGGAATCCTCTAATGAGTTATATAGTAAATTACGTATAACTTCGGATNGTAAGGGACTATTATGTAATAAAGAAAGTTGTACCAACTATTTTAAAAATCACTCTAAGTTCAATACAGAGGAAAAACCAAATATTATCATTGTTTTATAAATATAAAAAGGAATCCTCTAATGAGTTATATAGTAAATTACGTATAACTTCGGATCTCACCTGAGAATATAGGGAAAGAAGATCAAAAATAATTCCATATTATATTGAGGAAAAGAAAAAGGGTAGATCGATTTTGTTACAAAATGACTGTTTAATTTACAACAATAAGAAAGTTACTTATAGTTTAGTCGAGAACTGTTTGGTGGATACTGGTTCTTTTTTAGAAGTGGAAATCAAATAACTAACAAAGTAGCAAAAATAAATAGCGGAGATGGTAAAAATTGCAGTAATAATTTTATGAAAACAAATTTCATACCAGATAAAGAACCAAAAATTAAGATTATAAATTGGAACACTCAAGGGCTTAGAAAAAAATTATATTCTAATTATTTCCAAACACTAATGAAGCAATATGAGATTATTGGTTTGGAAGAAACATGGATTACGGAACTAACTGCTAAAGAGATGGAATTCTTGCAACCCACATTAAAAAAAAAAATTTTTTTAATCAAAAATAATGCATTAAAGAATTATGGGAACATATACTCTCATTTTTTTTGTGTTGTATGTTTGTTGAATTTCTAGTTACAGAGAAAATTTTATATAAAGCCAGTGATTTTATACGGTATCTAATAAGTTAAACTATTTATTTTATTCATCAGCATAAGGATACGTTCCAGCCTGTGTCACCAAATGTAACTGAAATATAAAATCGGATAATCTAGTAGCAGATATGCTGTGTATAATCCTCTCACGCATTGCTAAAGGTCTTCTAAAATATTATTAAATATATTTAATAAGTTGTTATATCAGATCTATTCAATAATTATAACAATTACCTGTGCAATACTCGAATTGGAGTCTTTTGCTTCAAAGTTAAATTTTTGACCAGAGAAAGTTTTTCTATATCAATGTCACTTAATTTCTTATTAATGCAACATTTCGCACAGTAAGATTTTTTCTTTTCTTCTTCACCTTCTTTCAACTTTTGGATTTCATCTCTGAAATAAATTATTTATTAAAAATATTAATTTGAATGGTATTAATTTTCCAATATAATATAAACTTTTTAACATACTTGTTTGTCATTTGGAGGTCTCTCACCATTATATCATTAGTTTTACTATTAATTTCCTATTAGAGTAATCAGAATTATAATAAAAAATGTTATTATTTATTGTAAAATAATTTTTGAGTAGATTAAATTTGATGAAAATTAAATTGATGATTTTGACTAAAATATTAGAGATATTTTAAGTATTTTGAAACTTAAAGTGAAACTTAAAGTTAAAACTTTAACTGAAAATATTTTTAATCTGGTTTCATACCAAGAATAAAGAATCAGATTAAAATTTCAACCAAATTACAGTTTATAATTAAAGATCAAAATATTAAAAACTCCCATAAAAGAACAGTTAAAGTATTTTACAATTTTGCTCAATTTAATATTGCTTTTGAAAAATTTTAATATGTACAAATTTCCTTTTGCTTTCCTAAAAAATTTAATTAATACAAAGTAAACTTTTTATGTTTATGAAAGAAAATACAGAATAATATTAAATACAGTTCTATTCACAAAATTATATAATGTAATGAAAAAATATTATAACAAATTATCACAATGTTAAATTGTAATATGCTAAATCACAATATATTAGATAAGTTTAGTTATTGTTGTTTAAGATATTTGTAAACTAACTAAAAATTAAAATCTTTTATGAAATTAAATTTTATTGTGGAAATATGCAATTTTCTGCATAAAAAATAGTTTGTGTGAAATTGTATCTCATGTTATTGATGTTGATTATAGATTTAGAAAGACTTTTTTTCACAAATATATGCAAAATTTAGATAAAAACTAACTAGTGGTTTCTCATAACAATAATTTAGAAGAAAAATTACAAAAGATGAAATTAAAACTCAAAAATAATAATAAAGATCATTTAACCATTCTACATTTATAAAGATTGAAATGTTATATGGATTATACATATAGACAAGACAAGAAAGGTTTTATTTAATTCAAATTCAATGTTGAAATTTAAATAATTGGTATATCAACAATGTGTAAAGTATATATTTTGAAATGACAAATAAATTATAATGTATGCTAAATGCCATTTCTAATTGAATATGATAGATGCTTCTAGAAAATGTTTGAAATATTTGACTCAAGGAAAAAGAAAACTAACAATTTTTGGTAAAAAGATCAGTTTCCATAATATGTCCATATAAAATGAAAATAATAAACATTCTGCAATCAATTACAAACCTTGACTCTAAATTACATTTGATGAAAAAGTGAATATAACATGAACATTTATTAGTTATAAAATTAGCATTTATTAATTAAAACAATAGTTCATTTACAGCTAGTAATGTACAAAATACATAATACAGATAAAATAACTGAATGCAAAATTGTTTAATTTTATGAATATTGAGGCTGAACATTCACAAAAATTTTAAGAGCTATTTAAAATTAAATTTTATTCTTTTCAAACATTTCAGGTCAATGCTAGATATAACTCAGAGAACTGAAAATTTTTATAAACAAAGAAAATATGCAAAAGAAAAATTTCAGTTGTAGCTAAGAACCAGATTTGTGTGTTTAAAATCACAATTATGCATATTAAAATCCACAGTAATATAAACTGAAATTTGTAGGTTGAAATGCATATGTACTTTATTTTTATCTTTCACCAAATCTTACTAACATATATTATGTAACACTTTTTAGGTCAGAGAGGATAAACATGTGTTAGATTCTGGAGTTAAAATAAATCCCTTAACAAATTTGTTAAAACAATATTTTAAAATTATTTTGATAGAAAAATTATCTATCTAACAAGGGAACTGTCAGAGTGTCTTTTAATAGATATTAATAAAATTTAGTTAATAATTATGTTAAAAGTATACAAACTCTATATTAAATTTGTAATATTCACTAAAAGTGTTAATCGGAGTTAATAGCAATCAAATGTCATACTATTTTATATTAGTTTAACACAAATATGCAAATGTTTAGAAGTGAAAGGATTGCAGAGGAAGACGACAACATTTACAGAGTAGAATAAGGAATAAACTCAAATAAATGTTATATGAAAGATTAGATCGTGGCATTTGGCAACATGGCATTTGACCACCATCCCCAACCTACATGACATCAGACTGTGGCTAACTCCACTTTTTAGGTGGATGTGCTTCTGTTCGGTTGCTCACCTCACCGCATGCTCTGACCACTGTTTCCATGGTTGATGTAATTGTAACTCTTGTATATAATTCTGTAAAATAAACTCGTGACGACAACTATTAGACTCCATCATCTGACCATTGTCCTGGAATCATTCGACACCATTCATAGATGTAATCAGATTGATCAACATAACCAATTTCCTTCTCAAGAGGTACACTCTAGTGGCCTCCTCACTAGTGAACCGGACAATGTAGTAATCTGGACTAGGTGGTCCCAGTGATGCTGACCATTTCAAAACCCCAATTCCAGACTTCATAGACAGGAATCAGGTAGGCCTCCTTTTTTCTCTCCATGCCGGTCAAGCAACCAAACCAACTATTAGTTTGGCTGCTTGACCGACATGGAGAGACTGGGTTTTGAAATGGTTAGCGTCGCTGGAACCACCTAGTTTTATTTATTTGAGTTTATTCCTTATTCTACTCTGTAAATGTAATATTGTCGTCTTCCTCCGCAACCCTTTCACTTCTAAACATTTGCATATTTGTGTTAATAGCAATCAAATGTCATACTATTTTATATTAGTTTAACTCTGATTAACACTTTTAATATAGAGTTTTTATACTTTTAACGTAATTATTAACTAAATTTTATTAATATTTATTAAAAGACATTCTGACAGTTTCCTTGTAAGTTAAAAAGGAAACTTCCTTTTGTAAGGAGTCAATGTCCGATCGTTATTTTATGTTTTTGGGCATTACTTTTAGTTACAGTTATTTTCTTTTTGGGGGTCTTTTTTTTTTTAAGGACAGAAACTCCTAAACCCTCGTGCAAAAATTCAAAAAGAAAAAGGCAAAGATACTAATTTGCATTGGTGACTGATCCTGTAATGTGAACAAATGTAAATAGGGCAGTACGGAGCTACATGCAGAACCAGATAAAAAGATGATATGTCTATGTAGCCATGTGGTTGTAGCTTCCGCCAGCAATCAGTGTAGGAAACATCCACTTTGAGTATTCTTTTTGTGGATGGAGATTTGAATTGATTTAACTTTATTTAATTCAATTCAATTTAATAAATCAATTCAAATACTACAATTAGATAATTGTATAATTTATTTATTTATTTATTTTATTGTTGGATTTTCGAATATTTAAAATATATCCTAACATTTTGTTATAATTAACCATTGTTTGTTATAACTTTCACTATTGATCAATTGAATAAATATTTTATTCTGAATTTATACTTATATGTGTTTTTTGGATTATTATTATTTTTTGGTTCCCATAAAGTCCAGGCCTGGTTCTTGAACCCTAACTTGTGTAACCCTGCCTTTTGTGTCACACAGTATGTTACACTTTTAGTCACGGAGAGAAAACAGTTTAGTTCCTCCAAAAGTGATAGCAATGTCTTACTTCTATCCACAAGACCACTCAACTTCAGTCATGTGCTGGAAGCATGGTGTGATTTTCCAATAATTCCATTGGACAGAATTCAGCATAAAAGGTGAGAAGTCACCTTCCAACTTGCTCTTAATCCCTCTGCTAACCTTTGCTCATCCCAAGGACTCCCTCCATTCTCTCATATCAGGATAGACATAGCAGTTTAAAATTAGATATCCTCACATAGTTGATTGTTGAACTTAAGAGATTATGATAAAACAGAATGGTTATTTATTTGTATATAAAATAGTTATATAATTAATAGTTATACAGTTGTTGTACAGTTGATTTAATGCGTAACTCCATCATCAACCCACGTAACCCATGTAACTCATGTTTCAAATATTTCACTTCATTTAACATTTAAGACAAACCCTCCTAATGTTCTGATCCTTCAAAATTATTCTTTAACCACTCGGAGAATAAAATAATTTAATTGTGAGGGATCTTATAAAGAAAGATTTCACAATCTTTCTTTCATTTCCATCCTATATGTGGAACGGAGTAGACTGGAACAGTCCATGCTCATACATGCAACAATATATGATACAAGGGATTTAGAAATCATGATGTCACAAAACCACAATATTATTTCTTGTAGGAAGTGTGCAATCAAACCAATTACAAATAAAATTACACATTCAATAAAATTTTATAATTCTATTCTATTTAATCAATCATTATTGAATTTATTTCTACATATATAATTGTTTACAAGATATTTGAGGTTGACTGTGTTAAAAGAATGTGTTAGATGTTCAAGTTTAAAACATTTGAATTTTGTACATTTATCTATAATTAGATGGAAGTGATATTTCTCATAAGAACTATAAATGTGCAAAAAAGGTTTACTGCTCAGATAGAAGAATAGACTATAGATCATTTGAAAAAACCACTTTCAATCATGCAAACAAGCTATAGTTTATAAAGCACTCCTCAGTCTCAAAAATTTTCAAAACAGCCCAAGATTTATTCAGCAGGAATCTGTGACCTGCCCAATCAATGAAAGAAGGTGCTTGAATATTAATTAATCAGAAAATATTAATTCAGAAACTAGCTTCTTTTTTATTTTAATGTTAAAAGAATTAAATATTTTCAAGATGCAATTATTTTCTTGAAAAACAATTTTTAGTTATTGAAGTAATTGTTTTACTATAACACTCTAGAAAATTCCAGAAACTTTTGCATCAACCCAATATTAATGAATAAATTTAATTACATATGCATTCTTAAATAAAAATAATAATAATCATCTTATTTTATAAGAGGCTATTCATTAATTATGTGCACAGTTTAAGGGAAGAGGATCATGAAAAGTACATCATTGTATATGCTGGAAAGGGAGAATCAAGGAATTGTAAATATACTTTTTAGTACTATTAGTAGCATACAAATTTATTCTTATAAGTCTACCCACTAGTAATGTAAATAAATATCAATTGGAAAATATTTGCAGAACTTTTCAAAATAATGTCTTCAATGTCAGGGATTCATTAAATATTGTACACATAATCAAAGGGGAAGAGGTTTGCCAAAAGTATATCACTGTTTACAAGGAGAAAGAAAGACTCAAGATTAAAATTAATTGTAATTAGNATAAATAATAAATTCCTATTACAAATAAAAATAATTTATTGTTAATTTAAAAGTTAAAAGCCCCTAGTGCCCGTTTTTGGCATACCGTTACGCGGACAGATGGATACCCGTTCAATGGGTTATATATATAATAGATTCGACAAGAACCGTAGTACAGTAGTAACGGAAAAGAAACATAAAACGGTTACCACAACAGCGTTTATGTGATGAAAGTTCAAAGGTCGTGTTACAAATTGCCGTCTACTTCAAAGTGTGAGAAGATATTCGGCATTGTGGTGGTCGTCACACCACTTGATTGTGTTCGCTGAATATATGAATAGAGATCGTAGTCATATATCTCCTATTTACTTTATTCACACTATATACAAAGAAGTCTCGTCTACCTAACGGTCGGTTGATTGGAATCCACGTGTACATGTGAGCAACCCAAGAGTAGCTGACAAGTCGGGAAGTAGTATGGCGGACGGCCTGCACATGGTTATATATGCGTCGCGCCAGCGCCACCTGGATTTTCAGGTGTAGCGCTAGTTACAATTATGCGGCCGCCACAGGCATTCTGGCATTTATGACGTCATTTATTGGATTGATGCAAAAGTCCGTCCCGTTTTTAGCACCAGATGGTTTTGCATCGCAACACCGAAGTGTCATTTCCAAAATTTTCTGCAATAAAAATACAGGGTCACCCTACTGACCTCCTCTGCATTGCTAACAGTACCATTGGTACTATTATTACATACACCATCCCCAGTATAGCTACCCTTACCAAGACACAGCTCCACACCTTAGAGACTATTCAAACCCAATACATCAAACTCAGTCTGGGTCTTCCCATCTCTACCAGCAACACCACAACACCGTTACACTCCGCGCCGTAAATAAAACCTCCCTCGATTGCCGCTTCCACAAATGCATCATTAAACAATACTGCATCTACGTCAAGAAAGCTACTTCAGACCTCTTCCATTCCATTATTCAGAACATACACAACAATTCAGGCGCCTCCCTTGTCAAGATACCATTCATTCACTTCACCCGCTCCTGGCTTCTCCTGCACAACGTTCAACCATCCAATCTTCCGTTAAAGTCGTCCAACATCACCAACGCCTCCAACCACAACATCCATCTCGAAGACCTTGCCTTCCAAAATTACAATCTCCCGGACACTTTCATCCAACAGTTCTTTAAAGAATGGGAGGCCCACAAAATATCAACACCATTGTTGCCACAGATGGGTCGAAAACCTCCAACACCGTGACAGCGTCACGGCTCACTTCTCTCTCCACCCTAAGGCCACGATTTTCATTGCGGAAGGATATGCAATCCTTCAGGCAATCCATCGTGTTACCCACAAAAAGGCAGATGCCATCATTTGTACAGACTCGAAATCGGTTCTTAAGGCTCTCCACGCTCAACATGATAAGTCCCCAACCTTAATCCAAATCATTAACTCCATCAAGTCCGACAACGAGAAACATATGAACAACAGATGAAACATCTACCCCAAAAACTATCTCTACCCTTGGTTTTCTAACACATCAGATATTTCTATTCCTGACATCACTGACCGTCGCATCAACGTCCTCATCAACCGCACAAGAACCAACTCTTTGCTTACGAACCACTTTCTTTATACACGCAACACCTGCACCACAGACCAGTGCAAATACTGCCCAAACAAAACAGACACAACCACACACCGCCTCAACGAGTGTCCAAAATTCGACATCAGGGGAAGAATCCTTTTCAACAACAGTCTAACAAAAAATCATCATCTCAATATCAGCGACTGCCTTCAATCCTTATCGATCTTTTTTAATGAATACAAAAATACCTACAACTACTAAATCAATTTAACTTTTTCTCATCTCTCATTATGTCTGCCAACGGTCGATAAACAGTTAACTCATCCACCCCGACATGCGTACTGATTTTACCAAACGTTTCTTCTAGACCTTTCAAGTTTTTCAACTTGAGATCGCCATGTTTCTCAATCCAATTCCACTCACTTGGAATAACT